AATTTTCATAAAAGAAATGGACTACAGAAAGTGTTGTCGCAAGATACTCTCCCTTTTCTCTACAATCGTTTGAAGAATACTTCCGATTCCGTACTCCCGTCCTTTTGAGCCTTTATGCTTCCATTGATATCGCTCTTAAAAATTTCTGACTTCTGGTTGAGAACGAGTTCTTCGAGATACCCTTCCGTTCTCAGCTTTTTAAAGCACAACCACTTCATAGATGATGTTGTTTGCGACATCTAAAAGAATATGAAGATGGTATATGGAGTGAGAAGACCAACCCTTACATGCACACCATCGGAAACACTCTCTATAACGCGTCGCGGTTACCAACAACTGCATCCTACGGGACCTCAAGTGCACGGCAAAAACGCCACCAACACTTTTTAACGAGGTTCCTAGGAGAAAGATGTAATTCCTTTCGAATCTCCAGTGTGAATCCTAGTCTTGCATGCGATACGGCAAATGATACTGGCCCAAGCGTGAATCAATGAACATGAAAACCTATGAGAAGAGAAGGGCAAATGATCGCGTTGAATACATAGGTGAACTTCAGTCTGAGAGGAATTCAAAGCCTGTGTGTGACTCAATTCCAACATAAGCTTTCGGTTCACTACTGTCATGGAGCAGTATGAAAGAGAAGAGCTCTGAAAAGATAAAATTCACCGAGTGACTGCAAGACAGTGCGCTGAAACGTGAAAGAAAATTTTCAAGTAAAGGAGTTTTTTCCCTTTTTAGAAGGAAGTGTTAAAATTTACGCCCTGTATCAAAGTTAAAAGCAGTCAGCATGAATATTCAAGGATTCCATGCCAGATGCCTAGGAGAACAACTGACATTTGTATTAACACAGATTGATTATTTTCAATTAGATGTACTTGAATGACATCCAATGACGTTGGCATCTTTTACAGAAAATTCGCTCATTTTTTTCTACAAGTGCTGTGGTCATCTACATAAGGAATGCTGCTCTCATTTACGAGTTTGGGTTAGTTCACATACATTTTGTTCACTATCTCTGAAAACATCGATCTCGTCCAGCTGCTATCATTAGTATCTGCCAATCTAATGGTACATTGATGCATCCGAGCTTAGTTCTGCGTTGGCCCAGCTGACAGTTCTAGGTTAAGGAGCTTTTTTGTTAAAAGCATCAATTAGTTAAGGAGTCAAGTCTTACACATATTGAGCATGAATATTGAATATAGCTCTTAGGTGCGTAATTAATGTGATTTCAGGTGCTCGTACTTATAATCGCTCTCCCGTTACTGTGCATTGTACCCCCATTCGTTTACCTACTTCGGCGATTTCTGTGCAAGAGAAAGCAACGGTACTCTGCAGGAATTCAAATGACACCTCATGAAACCAGAGAAAGCCGGAGCGCAGCCAAGAAGGTCATCACCGCATCGTGATCCGCACTACTTTGTACATTTCAAAAGAGTTCATCCAGTCTACAGAGTATCTACATAACCAAGTGGTGTATTTCTGCGAAATGCTGTAATTGACTACCATTTCAAATTTCTTGTTAGCCACAACTCTGTTACGCCTGATATCATCTATTGAGTCCAAATTCTCATGCAATCGCTTGCTACAGAAAGCTCCACTTGTAAGCCGATACAGCAACATTATCCAAATTCCTGAGTATCAGAGTATGTTTACTTATCTCTGGTAGGCTCAGGCATGACTTCTGCAGCTACGGCAGCACCTGCACCTACTTCTACAGGCATAACTCTTAACGCTTTCCTTATTTCAACTCTTTTCTACCACATGAGAGATTTCTACTTGTATTCTAATTGTTGTCACCGTCTCATTACATTACCATACTTTATTTACACTAACGCTTTTAAACGAATGATGTATTTTGAAATAGATTCAAATATATCTCAACATTAGACTTCGTGTAATATAGAACAATGTATAACTCCAATCCACCAGACCTACATGATAGGAATAAATACGGGAAGTGGAAGAGAAATAAGAAAGAAAACCCGGAAAAGAAAGTATAGTCATCGTCACAAAACACCACCCCAAAAACAAGCTCACAAAACAAGAAGAGTTTGAAGAGAAGGAGACGGTTGACTGAGAAGAAGACAACAACCGGACAACTGGCAAAAAGTCAGAACTACCGTGAAATCAAATAGTTCAAGAACAATATTGTTTTTAACACCTTCATCACCAGTTCAGTAAATTTGTAATAGAGGTGGCACGTCCTCGAAAGGGAAGGGGTGCAGCAATCTAGACGGCGAAAAACTTTCATCGAAGTCGTGTTTTTTCATCAACTGAATTGGCAAGCTGTACTTGAATGACTTTTTCATGCCTATGATTCGTTCGGTGTCAACCAAACCAATACAAAGCTGTGAAATACTAAGATACCTGGCATTAATTTTATAAAGGTGCTAAAAATGAGTAGCCTCAAAAAATTCGCTGAGTCTACGTAACCACAATAAAATCCGTTGGCGATTATAGCATAACTCATATAAAATGAAAGAAAGGCGTTAAAGGGCCGTAGATATATTCGAACAAAAATGCAAAAGCATTCTTAAACAAACCAAGAGGAAAGTGGAAGGATAACAAGAGTAATAAGAATGTGCACAACAAAAGAACCACCTAAACGAAATATACACTAATACAACGACACCAACAACGAAAATGAAAACCATTTCAGCTTCAGATAAGCTCTGCCTTGAAGCGTTTCAACGGTGATGGCTGCGCGCGGAAGGAAGACTGAACTTGTTGGTGATTGTGTGGATGAGCGTTGTAAATTCCCTTATGATGCTGCTGGTTGGTGAAGTTCACAAGACGGGCGCCACCACCTGTCGGTGTAGTATAAACAATCGCTTCGGATGCATAGTCGAGTTTTGAGTCCTGAAATGAGGTGCGCATAGAAAAATTAAAAAGGTCAAGATCAGCATAGCACATAGTTCGTACTGGGAGCTTTACACGTAATTTTGTTTCTCCGCTCCACTCACTCTCCACTATTGTAATAAAGGCAGGCAGACAGGCAGACGAGAGACAGGCAAAACGAAGGACACGGATGGTGTGGTGGTGAAGTGCGCTACACCCCGGTAATAACAACAGCGCGTGTTCGTTCCCCACCGCATACACCTGCGTTCCGGGGTTTTGCAAATATCTCAGCATTATATACGAGTTATATTTCATATAAAAGAGAAAGGATAAAGCGTTCGGTGTTGATCAATCCCTGAAGAACTTCACTAAGCATCGTTTGAGGTGAGTGAATGCGTATTTGGCCTAAACAATTACTTACAGTGGGTTACCGATGTATCAACTAAGTGTTGTTATCCTCCAAGACAAATCTGTTTACCAATTTTCCGACCCTGGAGGGATCAATGGCTTAATGAGCCCAGGACGTGCGATCGAACCAATGAACACGTGTGTCTTGTAGCTCATCTCTAACCTGCGAGATATGCGCCCCCCTCCCACCTTCCTACTTGGCGTAATTCACAAAAAAGAGACTTGATACAGTACAACAATCAACTGCCACGATGACAGATCAAATTGTCTCTATATCTCAGAATTAAAAAAAGAGAAACAAAATGCAGGATAAATACAACATACCTGTAAGTAATTGATTCCCATATTTTTGTTAGAAACAGGAGTCACAGAAGGATATGCTAGTCGTCTTGCCTGTATAGGCTCGTCTGGACCCTCCGCTTTACCCATTGGAGCCATGTGCTCCTCCATCCTCGCCGTCGCTTGTGGCATTTGCGGGCACTGGTCAGCCCCTCCTTTTGACACGTATTCTATCAGCGTTCGTGAGCGAGCTGTGAGATCTACGATTAATCACCGTGCACGCTAGACACTCTAGGAGTTTCACGTTCAGATGATTTCATGACCAATTCCAATGTAATTTATACTTCGTTACACATGCTATATAGTATATTAGGGAAGAGGTCGTTGTAAACAGAGAGAAAAGCAAAAAGTCGCGTAATGGATACTTCAGAAAAGATTGAAGAGCCCATAAAGTTGAATACCACAAAAGATTTAGGACAGCCTACGGGTTAACAGTTAGCCCACACTAGTTTCTGTTCGAACTCATTGTTCAAAATTGTTCTCGAAAATTATAACGTCATGCTGAGCGACTCTACATGCTGCTTAACACACTGACGAAAAAGAAAAAAAGCCAGTGAACATCACACGTAGGAAGATCTACAAACATTCTTGAATTAGTCTCTCAGGAGCAACAAAAAGAATACTGTCAAACCAGTTAATCTCAACAAAATGACAATTGTTTTGGGGCCCGCAAGTTTCTTCACGAAGATGGGTTGTTCACATAAATGCTCTTGGAAAAAGCCAAACTCGTTGAAACCAAAAGCTAAAGCACGCTTTACCTTGTGCGGGTGCTCGCTTTGTTACCTCCTGCAAGCTGAGGTTGTGGGGATGACGCGAGGCGGCACGTGTAGCCTCATCCGATTCAACGGTTCGTTGGTTTTTCTGCTAAAGTCGGAAATTTGTAACTATAAATTATAGTTGAATCCACTATGCTTCAAAGTAAGCATATCATGACGAAAACCAGATTTACTTCGCTGAAGAAAACCACTTTGTGAGAGGTGCAATGCAGGCGAATTTTTTGCGAGTCAAATAATGAGGAGAACGAGCACCGCTTTGTGAGAGAATTGCTACAGACAAACCACCCCTATTCCCAGTGCGTATCGAGCCTCTCTTGACTCCTGGGACGGGATATTGGTACCACAGTTGTCTAGGAAGAATTCAATCCTAATCCAGATAGGAACGCCCGAGCCCGACCATCCAGCACATCACAGAGAATCGACCGGACCAGCATCTACTGACTGAGGAAACTGATGAGAGGAAACGAATCGAAAGCAAGAAGTGCTGGAATCCGTACAGCAAATGCGAAGACGAGTAACGTAAAAAAAATTATACGAACGACATATTCTGGCTTTGCAGCTGCCAGTGATAGTCTGCTCTTGTGATAAGCGCCTCGTTAGAGTGCCATATTTTATATTATGCCATATATATATTTATATTTATATTATTGTTGAAAAACACTGATAAATAGGTAAATCTTTAAAAAAGATTACCAAGGGGTTTAGATGAGGTGCCACAAGCAAACAAACGGAAAGTAGTAAAACAGCGAGACAAGTGCCTGCTTGAGCTCCCCGACGCGTACTCTAAAAATCATTTGTTAGTTGTATGAAGTTATGTTCTCGCATGATTCCAAATAGCTTTCCACGAAGTAGAATAAAAGAAAATCTAAACTGGGAGAAAATAGAGAAAGCAAAATTTGAGATATGTAAGGTATTCGAAAGTAAGAGGATTATTTGAAGCTGCTCTCATCAAGGCCTTCGATTTTTATTTTCGGTTTTACCTGTCCGAGAGCTGCTTGCAATTTCCGTAGCTGTGAAAGGACTGACTGGTGCTGACGAGTAAGCATTTCAACCTGAAAATCCGCTTTCACAATAATTCCTACTACCCCTTAATCTTATGAACTCATATTTCAGACTTTCAATGCAAACAATAGTAATTTAGAGCAGCAAATCTGAAAGATGATCTATATTCATTTATACCTGCGCTTTCAGTTCCTGATTTTCTTGACTGCAATCAGCAACACGATCTTCTAGTTGCTCTATATAATCCTGGAAAATACTGTTTAGTCCGCTCCGTTGTTGCTGTCTTTGAGATTTACTTGATGACATGATCTCTACGTGAATCATGCGATGCGAAAATAGCGGCTACTTTTAACATCTGTCCAGTATATTTCTTCCCACAATAAAGGATGAAGGATAAAGCTCTCGGCGTTGATCAATATTTAAGGAATGCCCAATAGATTCGACTTAATTAAGCATCGTTGGAGGTAACTGAATACACATCTGGCCTTTACAATGGCACGCAGTGGCCTACCGATGTTTCGAGCCACTGCTGCTATTCTTCCAGACAAGTCTGGTACCAATTTGCTGAATTCGGAGAGATGGAAGGCTTGGTGGGCAAGGAGCGAGGAACGTGTATTGCAGGGAGACTCAGACCACTACGCTACACGCGCCCATCAGTGAAAAAGATACATGTGATTATCCTCTCTTGCCGAAAACCCAGCTTCGTCACAAAAGGGTCAAGTTTCTGAACTACGAGAATAGCAATGTTCAAAATACGAGCCTCGACGAGAAAAAAATTCACTCCTCATTCTCCATAGCATTTTGTCGTTATAGAAGAGTTGCACGTTGCTCCCATAGACTCGTGAAGTTTTTAGTTCGACTAGCAAATTCCATTTTGAGTTGAGATAAATGTTTAAAGCTTAACAGGGCAACAATTTTCAATCAAGTACGATTGTATACAATGCACATCCTCCAGTCCGTTACATATTAATGGATTTTCACAGCTCCAACGAACAGTACGTGCGCTTATTAATTGAACTGTATGGAGTATACGGTATCAGGGCATGGAAAATTTCAATTGAACAGTTCTATGGACAGACGAAACGTTCTCCCCAGTACAGAACAAGGAATCAAAACATGTTCTAAGTGACTAAACACCGATTACGAATAAACATAGCAGTTGGGAAACCTGAATAACCACACTATCATTGGAGCGTAGTTGAGAAGCTTATAGGGTGTGCTGATCTGCGATGCAGAGAAGGAATTCACTGCTCTAGCATGGGTTAGAAGTTGAGCACCAATTCTACATTTCTACCCGAAAGCACAGCCAAAAATAAATCTCGCTGAACCTCAACGACTCACTAGGACATAAACGTACATCGAAACAACCATGAGGTGATGACACATGAGCAAAACTTCAAACCTCAACCTGGACTTGAAAAAAAGAATATGCAACGAATAAAGATAGAAAACACTGCTGTGCCGAATCATTCAACAGACAGAAAGCAAATTTCAGCTTTTACATATCCCTCTGCTTCCTCGATGGTGGATCTCCTATCTTCAGAAAAGAAAAGAACGCCCGTTAACCTCGATATTTTCAAATCAATAAATCATTCCTTAATATCACCATCATTTATCCTTACTCTAATGTCATCGTTCCTAATACCTCATCATTTTCGAATTCCATTGTGACGTGGAACAACATGATGAAGGCTTAGCCTCAGTACACAATTATGTTCGGAATAAACAGACCCCTATGAACAATAAAACAAACGTGGCACCGCCAGACACCTTTTACCGAGCAAATCTAGAAGAAGAAGAACACAATACGGTAAAAAATTGAGCAAATATTCCATAGATTCTCACAACTAGCCCACTTTATCGGTTAACCAGAAACCAGAATCAAAAGTTGAGTGCCAAGGGCACCAAAACCAATTGAGTTTAAAGCCTAAGAACTTCGATGAAAACTGATATGGAGATTTCACCCGAAACATCATCATTACTGGGCACCAAACCTTGATGACCGTATGAGTCGTGTTTGACTCATAAACGAGATCCGTGCGGTCAGCATGCAAATCTCTTCTACTAAGAATTTGGTTCCTCGAGGTCATATGAAACGTTTTCCTTTACTTCGATGTTCACAAGTTATTTTTTAAAAAAATAAATTGCCTTTGAAGGGCGGCTAGCAAATTAATAGTGACACCGATCATCACGACCACGGTGCTGGTCCTACCCTGTCCAACTTCATCAGGCCTCCCATACCTCCTGAGTCCAGAACTTGGTACCAGACATGTCTGAGAACAGTTCACTTCCTCCAATCCAGGTAGGAACACTATAGCAGAGCCATTCCAAAACTCCAGCAAGATTCGACTTCACCAGAGCTCAACGATCATGAAGAAAACGCCACTCCAGCAGCAACCGAACTCATACGCAGAATCTGAAGACCTTCGTCGGCAATGCATGCGAGGAAACGAGCTGCATACAAGAAATGTTAACATATGCACAATAAGCGCCGCCGGTTCAAGGAAAAAATTAAACTACTCTTAGAGCGACCGTACTATGTCTGTTCGACAAGTTTTCCAGATTTTGAGTTTCTCAGGCACTCCAGTTATCTAAAAACTATCAGTACTTCTCGAAAACCTCCTAACGGTTCACCGCCTCATCGTGGCTGGGAGGTGTTCTTGGATTTCGGACTACGATGTACAGCGGGAGGATTCGTCTCCCCGGCAGGGGCTTCCAAACTGAGAAGGTGTCCGGCGTTTCCATCAGGAAACCTAGCTAAGAGTAAGCCAATACCGGGATCCACCACCGTCCTGGTTTCAAAGTCGGATGGTGGCAAATCTCCCTCTGATCAATAAGGGCTGCGACTGCCCGTGGTGGTGGAAACCTGGAGCAGACTTTGGCCAGGCTGACCTCGGCATTCCAGGGAACCAGCAAAATCTCCGAAAAATAGTGATTATTATGCTGAGTCCGCACTAGTGATGACGGGCCGTTCAATTATCAAGTATCAAGTAAGTTCTCGAAAAACCAATACAGCCCCCAATGTGTCAACTGTCAATCATTCCACAAACAGGTCAAATGTGATCGTGTACGCAGCCTCGCTATGTCTAAGTGAAGCCTTGCCCTAGTTGCGATAGAGTTAAAACACGAACTAAACTAATCAAATCTATCAAAGCATAATAGCCGTTTGTTGTTGTCATCTGTTCTGTTTCTACCAGCCCACATCCAAAAAAAGGCAGACACGTTAAACAACGGATTACCATTCATTCTTCCGTAGTGCCATCATATGCAGTGTGGAACGGTGGACGATATGTGCGTATACTGTGGTGTCTTAGCCAATAACATAGAATTGCAACTTTACAGCCTTGCAATTTTGTATAGAAGCAATGCAGTACCCTTATCAGTTATCGTAAGCTAGCAATACGACAGTACAGACATGCTACAATAACACATTACCCTTCTAGAGAATGAACATCACAAGAGAACATCGCAGTCCCATCCTGACAAACCTGTTTGCGTTTTCGGCTCGTTTGTGCGCTTCTCTTGTTACGAATTTTTCGCCGAATCCTTTTCAAATCACGCTCTTCAGCTTTTGTTAGTGGATAGAAGTCTGGTAGGAGAATTGACTCCTTCTTGCATAGTCTTTTCTCCTCTTCAGTCAGAATCAGAGCTGGATACTTTCTTTGACGTTCACCTAAACAGTTACAGTAGAGACTATAGTAGAAACCGGTACGGTAGCACCAGAAAATAACAAAATCACCTGTAGCTGTTTTGTTAATGCTAGCATTCTGAGCAGTTCCAACTGCTGAGTTTGATGTAGAGGAGAATGTGGATGGAGCATTAAGTGAGATATTAGCAGGATTCCGTAGAGCTGGTTCTAAAGGACGTTTTTTAGACAAAAAGGCTTACTTTTTCCAAAGATAGTAGTTGATAAACGATTTCCATGTGAATTGTTCATTAGATAACCCAATTCCAGCACATATTAGATTTCCTTACCGGGTTAGCGTAAGTCTAAATTTTCTGAAAGTTCCTTCCGTATTGTGTGCATAGTCTTAAGAGAAACATTGTGATTTACTATGTTCCTTACAGTTACCTAACAGCCGCAAAAAATCCATAACACATACAGATAAGCGAGTTTTAGTGCATATACTCTCTGACTATTAATGTCGCTATGAATAAACATTTTAAAAAATCTTATCTAAACCCCATTAACTTCATCTCTTTTACTTCAAGAACTCAGGTCTCCTGTCAATTGCTTTCTTTAGAAAAAGAAAGCTAGAAATTATTTATAATGAGAAGTTCCACTTGGACTGCGAGTTTTCCTAGTTTTTTCATAGAATTTGGTGAACACAAGTGTAAGGCAGACGTTTCTGATATACATAGAATGTCAAATGTTTTGCAAATAAGTCATAAATCATTCTTGCTCACAAGCATTGGACCCTACAGAAGCATATTTTAACTGAAGGTCACTGGGAACGCATATGTGGCGGATGGAGACAGAATTCCTGATGATGGTTGCAGTTCTCAAAGACGAAACCAGTGTGAAAATTCAAAGAAGGAAATATTTTATTCAACAACAGGGTTATGATGTGAGGATCATTCACCACAATTTCCGCCAAAGCTTAAATACTTCGGAATTAAACATTGCACGGAACATCATGAACAGGTGAAGCCGAAACCGGAATCCTCTTTATAACTTAAAAGATCGACTTTCTATAAGCTCCAGCATAGTAGTCGATATATCTACATACATGTTCTTACAAAGTGCCCTTGTTTAGCCAACTCGAGGTTGGTATAGATGTTCTTATGGTTATCGTTGTTGTTGTTCGATGGCTAAAGTTTCGGTGACTTCGTCCTCCTCAGAGCCGTGCTGCTAGACCATTCGTGTGTTGTTCAAGAGGAATGAATTCAAGGATTCAAGGATTGGATTCATTCACTGCTTAGCATCCGCTCCTTTCAAATTCAAAGATTCAGTGACTCATCCCTCGTGAACAACACCGAGGTGGTCTAGCAGAACGGCTCTTAGGAGGGCGAATCGCCGAAACTTTAGCTATCGAACAACAATAACAATAACAACGAGAACACCTATATCAACTTCGCGTCAGCTAAACAAGGGAAGCACATATATATGCAACACTCTTTGTTCAGGAAGCACCTCGTTTTCAAGGAGCGGATGCCATAGACATTCAAGTGTGACAATATTCATGCACATAGTGACCATTCTGGGAGCAGTTTTTCAAGAAACCGAAACCGCCATCGAAATTTCCGTTTCAGCAATTCAATAATGTAGGTCTTCCAGTGACCGCACTGAGAAAAAGGTCACGACAGTGTGACGAATCCAACAGACACGATGCGCAAACTGGACGACAACCAGTCACGATAATTCCTCAAACAAACTTAAAAAAAAGCCATGCTGGGCAAATTGCTCTTTGCATTTATGGTGATGGGACATTTTCACATTTGCTCTGGTGCCACGGCAATAACAATCGATGTGGTGTTTTCAAAACTGCTGTCTCATGATTGCACCATTATGACGCATCAGATGAAGAAATATTCGCTCTCATGTGTGCCGTAGAGAAAATAAGATGCACTTCTGCAAACATCGAAATAATTACTGCTTCCACTAACCTAGATATTACCAGTAATGTGAATATTCCAAATGACAAGAGAACATAAAAGTGTGCAAAACTTTTATTTTTATTTGCACGACACGACGTCACACCTTACATTGCGTGGAACCCAGCATTTGAGCTCGGTTCCTTACCTCGCGTCCACCATCCGTGTAAGTCTCCCAGCTTTTTCTCGTGTGGGTTCAACTTGTACTTCTTGAAAATTTCCGTCCTCGTCATGAATGTCGTTGAATGCTGGTCTCTGTGCACTCTTAGGGACAGCCGTATTAGTGCATTGAGTCTCAAGTGGATAAAAGAAAATAAGCATGTCCTAGACAAGTTTGTTACCCATCCCCCCCTCCCTTTCAAGGGATGACACGCTTCATGAGCATTGGATGGAGTCGAACCAGAGTTTGGTTTTGTTGGGCCGTTCGCGTAATGAACGGCTTCACTTCCAGAGTATGTAATACTTCAAAACGTTAGAACAGCAGATTCTACCAATACGAAGGTTAATGATAACCTGTGTCGAGTACAATCTCTCACCTTGAGACTCCCATATTGATCAAACAGTATTGGTAATTTTGCTACAAACGAATGGATCGATTTTTTCCCACAGAATGATAAAGACTAATGAGGCGGCCATTCAAAGTCCCCACAAAAAACGGCGCCTGCGTATGATGAACACGCGATCCGGCTTCAAGCAAACAAGAAAATTTTGCAGGCTAATCGATCCACACATTTTCTCCAAGTGTCGCTACTGTCCTCCATGTTTCCCGTTTCCGGTGATTAAATTTCATAGAGTGACGTCGACGACAACCAAATTACGTCCCATCCAGTCACAATTCTTAGATACCTCTAGCGAAACTTAGATAGCAAACTGAAAGCAAAGCAGTAATAGACAAAAAACATAAAAGTGATACACTGGCAGAAAAGCGTCACAAAAATCACTTACCAGGTTAAGAAGGTCCGAAAAGTGAGGACTAAAAGAAAGGATAAAAGATAAGAATGCAAACTCGGGAACATAGGTGATTAGTAAGTCAACTGGTAGGGTCAAATTACAACTTCGGTTAGTAACTGTGAACCCAAGTGGTAAAGAAGGGGAGAAATGTGGCGCTCTCTACAGTGCATGTGATTGTACGACGGAGGGGAAATGCCACTTCACTATGAAGTCCAAAAAGAAAACTTAAGATACACACGAGATTTTAAGCGGCATCGAATCACTGACTTCAAAAGAACATCTTTCCTCTTCCAGTTTCTCAAACAACATTATTTGAATTCGTACATGAGATGGACTACACAGACAGTTAATTGAAAGCCGGCTTGCTCAAGATATAAAAACGCATAACAATGATTGCTTGACGCTATGCTGTTTTATTTTCGCCAAAGTCTGAAACTGGAAACATTGTTGAGAGTACCGTTCCGTAAGTAAATTCGTTACGATAAACTTCCATCCTATCTCAGCGGTCCTCGTTCTTTTCAATTTCTTGGACTAATTATGCTTGCTAATAATCTATTAATTAAAAGCTTACTAAATCTTATAACTGGTGATGCTCGCTGCGTAGTGGTAATGGGGCGACCAGTTAAGGTCGGCGATCGCTTCTGTTGAGCTGTGCTCGACTGAAGTCGATATGTGGCGAACTGAGGTGGAGCAGTGCATAGAGAATCGCATGCTGTGGACTAAAAAGTGAATTTATTTCGAAATTTGTCGCTTTATAAAAACAGAGCTTATAAAACATCATTAAACAGATATTTAAGTCTAGCCTGAACAGTCGTATTCTGTTTTAAGTCGTCGTCAAAGGACGTCTGTGTAAACAACTCCTGACTAGCTGCTTCGAGGATATCAAGTGGATAGGACGCTACAACAAAGAATCCTTGAACTCCTTCCAGAAATCCAATGATATAGTTAATCTTACCGCTGCGCTAATATGTAAGCCTCAGCTGGGTAAATTAATGAGCTTTTGTCTAACAGACTCTATTGAGCAAAACAATAACGATTTCTGATATTTGAGAGAACAATAGAGACAATTTCGGTTAAAATCTCGTCATATAGAAGGGAATCTATCCGGTAAGCATTAGCGATTGTTCAAAAGTGAATGTCATCAATCTATTTATTGTTTACCTTCTGAGCAGGATGTATTCGTCGGAGAATTACTGCCATGACTGAGTGATCCTTCTCTCGAGGAACTCAATGGTGACAGAGCCGCATAACTGTGATCGTCGCCACACTGCTCCAAACCTTCCAGTTCAGAGATCATTTTGCTGCAGAAGGTGTCCTCAGCAGCTGAAATTCACTTCAAAATATGCTCTCTGGTCCACAAAAAATTATGCGAACACAGCAGCCGAACACGCTTTCTTCATCCTCAGTAACAAAAAACGCTAACAACTTTACTTCACTCTTTTCGCGTCCTTTTGAGGCTTTCTAAAAAATAACGACCACCATTCCCGACATCTTCGAAAATTTTTGATAAACAAGGCATATTTGTCCATACTCAGCATTAGGCTTCCATAGACGATAAAGACAAACCTTCTGGAAGAACTTCAGAATCGTTGAGAAACGGTGAGAAATTTTCCCATAAGGAGTTGTCATCGGCCGCCAGGACCATGCCCAATGTCGGATCGTCGCCATTCAGAAACGAGAAATCCATGTTCAAATCGATATCCATGCTGGCGGCCGATCTGGAAAACGTTATGGAGTTTTCGAGGACGCTGCACCGATTCTCGGACCGCAAATATAATCGATTGGTCAACCAAGCGAGTAGAAAAAGCTTTCAGTGAGAGGGGGTCGTAAAAGCTGGGGAGAAGGGAAATTCGGAATGCACTGAAACTTATGCTATAACTAAACGATAAACGCATTATAACAACGAAATCAAACAACGGGGGCTGGAAAAGTGGCAAGAGCCAGATGAAATCGATACGAGTGGCGCACCGAACCGTGGTGAATAGGGAGAAATGCACAGCCAAACAAATAAATTTGTTAACTAGAAAGAGGATAAATCAAGCCCAAAATGAGGATATCAAAAAGAAAAAGGTATCGATTCAGTTGAATCGATATCGTACGGTGAACGGAAACGTCTAGGATGCTGAATGAGAACACATCAAACAACGAACTGACATTGCCGTGCCAACGATATGATAGTTTCCCGAACATACTGAAGACCTGGAAGTCATGGAACGAGGAAGGTGTTGAACGAGACAGAACACTTATTCGATTTTCTCTTCTTGAGGAGGAAAAAAAAACAGTATTTTTACTACTACAGTTATAAAACAAAGAACGAAGCATGAAAACAACT